AGCTTGGAAATGCTTGTTCTGGCCAAGAAACATGATAGGGAAGGTAGCCATGGAAAGGCCAGCGTGCAAGTCCAGACGGAACTAACCCTGGACGCCCACCCACCCCAGCTGTTTTGAGAATGTGGTGCTGTTCCTAATACGGTCACTTTGCCAAAATCTGTGTGAAAGAAGGAAAGAAAATTGGAATGAGCTTAGTTGTCCACCTGCTTCTGGCTCTCTAGAGGATCCTTCCCTCTTTAGGCCTCAAGGTCCCTGACTGTAAAATGAGGAGGTTGGACCCCAATAGTCCTTCCATACTTGGGAACCCCAGTCTCTGAAACATGTGATTGCCTGAGAAACTGCTGCAGAGTACGGTCCCAAAGTCCCCTTCCTAAGTGGGCCCCTGCCATTGCCCCTCCCCTCCTGTGCCTTGAAGGGGCACCTTTGGGTTCTGTGGAGTGCCACGTTGTTTCATAGGTTTAAAGAGGGGAGTCAGTTACTGACAAAAGCGTTAGGACTTTTGGAAGGCAAAGAGGGGCTGCGAAGGCAACCCAGGGATTGGCAACAGCAGGAGTCTCTATGAGCCTGAGGGGTAGAAGGAGGTGGTGTTATCAGAGTCCAGGGCCAGCCCTTGGGTGCAGGAGTCCAGGTGGGGCAGACAGTGTGAGCTGGAATTATGAAGGAGGGGCTTTCTGGGGTGAGATGGGGGGTGAAATGTCAGAAGAGCGGCAGTCAGTTGCTGGAGTTGCCCCCTGACTCAGAAAGAGGAAGACAAAGCCTGATACCTTCTAACTTTTCAGTCTCTGAACACAGTCTTGAATTTAGGCAGAAGCTAGTTGGCAAAGCCCTGGGGACTGACCTGAAGGCAAACAGGCAAATAACTGAGAGAAACAGTTGAATGTACTGGGTCAAATGGTCTTCAAACTGCTTTCCATTGCTCACATTCTGGAGTTCATGGATTCCCTGGGAAGATATTAGGATAGGGGTTTAACAGGTCTTCCCGTAAGCTAAAATAAACTGCTTCTGCCAGTGTCTTCGGACAACCTCTGCTCGCATCTCCACTTTCCTTCTTCCCAAAGCCTGAAGCTTTTACATTTGACCTCACACACACTGTGCCAGCGTTTCATGAGAATTCCATTCTGGTAGACTCTGGCCTTTTGAAGACATGGACATAATCCCACTTATCCTGGCTTAGTCTTTATCATCAAGGGGCCTCCGGGAATGTGGGACCAGAATATAAACACAGGGGATCAACACTGTTACACAGCGGATCACTACTGTTGATCAGAGAAGTTTTGCTGTTTGACAGTTGCCTGTGGTTTTTGGCCACTGACTTAACTCTCAGCCTGGGTTTCCTGATTTGTAAGATGGTTTTGTTTTGTTTTGCTTTGTTTGTTAATTTTTGAGAGAGAGAACGTGAGCAGGGGAGGGGCTGGGGTGGAGGTACGTTACAGAGGATCCAAAGCAGGCTCCACTCAGACAGCAGTGAGTCTAATATGGGGCTTGAACTTAGAAACAGTGAGATCATGACCTGAGCTGAAGTTGGACACTCAATCAACTGAGCCACCCAGGTGCCTCAAGACGGTTTTTGTAAGTCAGGATGCTACAGATAGTCTAGGTTCTGCAACACTGAGAAGTAATCTTCTGAATCTCAGTGGCTAAAAATCCATAAAGTTTCATTTTTCATGACACATTCTTTGTGAATGACTGGGGAATGTGTCTGTCTTCATGGAGGCTCCTGGATGATAGATTAGCTTCCCACATGAATATTCCTATCCCCAGGTCCAGACAGAACTTAGGGGGACGAGGGTTGGCAATCAAATGTTGGTCCAGATGAGTTATACACCATATGTATTTATGAACTGTGTTACACAACTGTACCTAATTTCATCTAAGGCAATGAAGGAAGTTTGCATCAGTAACTGCTGCAGAGAGAAATACTACTACTTCACTTTTCATGATTGCTTTGAGTATTAAATAACACACGTGCTTAGTATAATGCCTACACATGGCCAATGCTCCATAATAGAACATAAAACTATTCTTATTGTTTTTATGATTCAGCAGTTGATTATATTTCCAGCATGCTTGACACCATCCACTTTTCTCTTCTCCTTTTTTTCTTCCTCCCAAAAATGCAGAGGTGGATTTAACCTTTTCCTCTCTAGACATACCACAAATTCTTAGTCAGTACAGTTGAGTTCATGCAGTTTTAGACCCAGTTAGGGACTCTACTCTTCTGAGCTTAGGTTTGACGAAGGTAGATGATTCTGTAAGATGCTTGCTTTGTGGAGTGATAGCTTGGATATCTGCAATAGCTCAGGACTGTGTTCACTTTGTTGGTTTTCAATTTAAGAGCACCAGACTTAAAGCAGGCTTTTTCATCTGAGTCAATGTAGAAACGGTCAATATGTATTATATGTCTATGAAGCTGGTTTCTGGATCAATTGCAATTAGTTTGCAGCAGATTGCATTAACATATCTAAAATTAATACGGTGAGTGTTCTAATGAAAGGGAATTGACCAGACCATACTGTGGCAGTTTTAGTCTCTCTCAAATGCTCTTTGCAAATTGTATTTTTTTTTTTCTTATTCTGTTAATGGCTTTAAGTTGGTATGTTAACATATACTTAATCTATTGATCCTTCCCCACCTGCCTTTTAAAAGTGATCCCTGTTAGTTATGTTAGTATATAACTAATGTTTAATCTTTTCTTTCATTAGGGAGCTTTCACTAAATGTCTTAAACTTGAATTTTTTGGTACATTTTGTGATGTGTTATTAAGACTGTTAAGTGAATATGTTCATGTGTGAAATTTTCTTTTTCAAATTAACTAATATTTCATCAAGACTTAAAATTCAGAAGTAAGATTAACAAATAATATACAGTTAATAAATCATACAGTAAGTGATATGACCATACTTCTTTGTCAATTTATTTTAAACCTCTGGTACTATTCAGAAGGGTGGAACAGAAAGATATCTTTAGGCTAGATCATGTCAAAATTTGAATTTTTATGAGTGTGTAAAAATTATTTTGTTTTAGGTCTGAAAGACTTTTGCTTTTCTATTTTTAGTGAAAGTCACTTTGTGGAAATGAAAAATTGTCTGTAGTTGGGAAACAAAAGGACAAAAGGCAGGACTTATGCATTTGGCCATTCTTGAGTATCTTCCATATGCCAAGCACCATCATATTCTTCTTAAAGATACAAACAATTTGAAGACACACTCTGCCCTTGAGTAAAACTCAGTTTAGTTGGAAGGCTCTAGAGCCTCCTTGGAATGTCCTTTAACCAGAAGACCTCCACGAGTGCATTATAGCTTAGAGACTGCAGAAGAAAATGCCATTTTAAAGACACATTTGAGGTCCTGAAATCTAATGGTTCCATGTTGTAAAGCCCTCTGGACCTGAGTTTATGGTCTGTGTGATACTGCCCAGGCCACCCCTCAAGGCCATTGACAGAAGACACTAGGCAGCCTGACAGGTGATTTTCCTCCACTCTTGTGATTCTGTTGTCTGGCTGACTTTTTTGGTTTGTGCATTATTGGCATTGTTTTCTTACCTACTGTTGGGCAGGGTTTTTTTGTTTTTTTGTGTTTTGTTTTTGCATCAGGACTCATGGATGGAAATGAGTTTAAACTAGGTATATTCATTCTTTTTTCTTTTCAAAATAGGGAATGCTGTTGCTCTTATTTAATAAAATCAGAATTTATTTGTTCATGTTATTCTGCTCCTTAATTACTTTCTTTAAGCACAGATTAAAAAGTAATTAATAGTGCATATTGGAAAAAACCACTTCTACATGATACTTAAGCAAAGTTACATTAATAGTTAATATATGAGTTGCAGTGTTTAGGAAGTAATTTATTTATGATGATTCAGGTTACTATCCTCAAATTTGGTTTGTAAAAGAGATAATCTCCTTTAACGATAATGATTTTACCTAGAGTCCATTAAAAAGCGTGGCAAAGAAGTGTCTTAGTCTGGGTCCATTGAACCTCAAAGTGTTAAAAAAATTTTCTGAGATACCTTACACTGATTAAAAGTGTGCACACAGTTATTAAAATAATGCTATGAACCTTATTTGGGGTGGGAATGGGGGAATGTATATACTCTATAATTCATTTCTTAACATTTTAGAAAGTAACTTTTTAGCGGTGCCTGGATAGCTTAGGTGGTTGTCTTCAATTCTTGGTTTTGGCTCAGGGCATGATCTCACGGGCTGTGGGTTCCAGCCCCGAGTCGGGCTCTGCACTGACCACGCAGTGCCTGATTTGGATTCTCCTCCTCCCCCCCCCCCCCCCCCCCCCCCCCGCTTGTTCTCCTATGCTCTCTCTTTCTCAAATAAATAAACTTAAGAAAATAACTTTTTATTCTTTTTTTTTTTTTAAACGGGTTTCTTTACTCTTAAATATTTATAGACTCAGGGAGCTGCAAAAAAAAAGAAAAGAAAAAAGCAACAGTCCCACATATCCTTCTCCCTCTTCTCCTCACATTTTGTCAATATCAAAACCAGGAAATTGATTTTGGTACCTTCTTGTTAGCTAGGTGATAGACCCTATTCACTTTTCACCATTTCTTTAAATCTGCCTTCATTTGTGCCTGTGGTTGTCTTTAATATTTTTGATTCGAAAAACAAGCATGGAGAATTTATATAGGATTTTTTTCCTTTTTGTTTTTTAATGTTTTATTTATTTCTGAGAGAGGGAGAGAGACAGCGTGAGCAGGGGAGGATCAGAGAGAGAGGGAGTCACAGACTGAAACAGGCTCCAGGCTCTGAGCTGGCAGTCAGCACAGAGCCCGACGGGGGGCTCGAACCCACAACTGTGAGATCATGACCTGAGCCGAAGCCGGACGCTTAACCGACTGAGCCACTCACGTGCCCCGGATTTTTTTTCCTTTTAAAAAAAGGTGTTGCTGATTGTCGTTTGTGGGTACCTTTAAGACTGGATACATACGTTGACTGTTATTTTCTTGTTATTTATAAGCATTCTTACCCCTCCCCCTCTCAATCTCTCTAGGCAGTGCAGTTAACCCCCCGACGATGGCTGAACCTGCAGGAATACCAGAGCAAGAAACTCATGTCTGAAAATGGAGTGAAAGTTCAAAGATTCTTTGTAGCAGACAGTGCGAAGGAAGCTCTGGAGGCTGCTAAGAAACTAAGTAAGCTAATTCACAACAGGTGAAATACACTTGCCCAAATTAGCAACTTCACAGGTAGCCCTGTCCCAGTAGGTAAATTTCTTTGTATATAACCGGCTATGATGATACAGTGGAGAGCTTTTGAATTGCAAAGGCAAAAAGACCCAATTAGGAAAACTCGATTCTTTTTTCACGAGATAGCAGCATCTGCGATGTCACTGTGGTAATTTTTCCAAAAATTTCAGCTACCTTTTCACGTAGTTCTCTTTTCTGTGGGATAGTGGCAGGGAGAAATATGGGCATAGAGTGTCAAAGAGAAGCCCACAGCAGGGTAAGGCAGGAAAGATGATTGGCATCCTTTTTAAGCCTCTAATAGGGAAAGTTCTCTAAGTGGAGGAGAGGAAGGGGAAGAACAAACATACCTTTGGACATGCTGAGTTTGGGTCAGGGTTTTGCCCTCCCGTTTATGAGCTCTGTAACTTTGTATAAGTGCCTTCTTTTTGGGCCTCAGTTTCCTTATCTAAAAATTAAGGCTAATCTGTTATTTCCTAATGCTGGTGTGAGCCTTTAAAGGAGACTATACATTGGTAGGTGGTAGAAAATAACTAATTTCCCTAATTATAGATTAAGTAGGAACCAGATCCAGCTGTTTTTCCATGAATATTCCTTCTGGAAGCCTACAGACTTTCTTACTGTCAGTCTGGATTAGCACTGCCCACTAGAAATATAATGTGAGCCACATAAGTATTTCAGAATTTTCTGTATTCAGAAAAGTAAAAAGAAATGGGTGAAATTAGTTTTATAGTATATTTCGTTTACCCCAATATATCCAAACTGTTATCATTCCAACATGTAAATAATGTAAAACACTTATCAATGGAACAGTGTACATCCAGTTTTCCTCCTAATCTTCAGAAATCTGGTTTGTATCTGACATTCCAGCCCATCTCATGTCACACAAACCATATTCAAATACTCGATAGACAGGTGGGGCTGGTGGCTGTGGTGTCAGTCAGCATAGATCTGGACACTAGAAGGATGTACATATGTAATCTTTGCCTGCAGTCTTGGAGAGCAATTGTTTCCCACCAGAGAGAATAGAGCATCTGCTAACTGCCCTTGCCAGGCAGCTGTAACAAACAAGTTTGAGAGTGCAAGATAGAAGCAGGCTCCATATTTCAATTTCCCAATTTTCTATGCTCTTTTAAGAGTAAGCAGTGAGGTACTTCAGCTAGTAATCGTTCTTTTATCTCCCTTCCAGAGTTCCCCCAGATGCTTATCTGCCAGATCCTTTCTATGTTTTGTCAGTTGAAATGTATGTTTATTCTTTCCTTCAACAAATATTTATTGATTGTCAGCCACATGTGTTAGGCACCGTGGATACAGCTGTGGAAGAGAAGCAAGCCCTCTTTTCAAAACTTACAGTTGAGAAAGAAATTAATTGGTAATTTTCAGATGCTAAATGTAGAAATTGAGAGTGACTTATAGTTTAAGACATGGAAATTGGTTTCATTTTCAAAAACTATCAGAATTGGTTTTCATGGTGGAAAAAAAAAGGTAACATTCGCTCCACACCTGGATGAGAGCTCCTCTGTGCGGTGTGAGAATAGACTCAGTAAAGGTTAGTACTCCAGCCTTTTTACATGAAAGGATCATTTTTGTTTTATACTCCTGTGATTTGAGGAATGGATAATGAGAACAAAGAAATGTAAAGTTCATGTTGGTATTTGGTCTTCATTTTCCCCATTATTTCTTCAAATGTGCTGACACACTAGTATTCCAGATATAAGGGTCCTTCTTAAGGGGATTCTGGAAATCGGCTGATTACCACTCTCTCCCCAGTTAGGCATAGCATAGCAGAGAGGGCTTATGTTTCACATTTTCAATGGAGATTTGGGCTTACCGAACTAAGTGGCTTCTTAGTCACCATTTGGTTTTATAATCATTTATTTAGCTGCTGCTTTGTGGTTGGGCATTCTATACTGTGTAAAGACAGAATTGTTGCTCTTCAGGAATTAACAGGGTGGCCTTTATATGCTGGGCCCAGGGTGAAGGCAGGAAAAGAGACAGACAATAAAGCAAGTTTAAATAAAAGAAAAGTAAAATTGAGAAAATTAAAGTACACTTTCCAAAAAGCCATTTTGTTTCTTGAGGAGTGGTTGTAGGAAAATGAGAATGACAGGGCTGTGTCTGTGGCTTGGCCGTGCAAACCTTTGATATGTCATTTAAGTGATGTGGCCATGGGAGTGCCTCTCTGATCCTGTTCACGGCTAAAAGGGAATTTAGAGAAGGAATCCAAGGCTCTCATTTGCTGAATGAATGAGTAATCCTTTTCTTACTCAGTGAGGACTTTTGGAGGAAGGAAGGTCCCCTCTGGCTTTTGTTGTATAATAGACAATTTTGATCCAAGGGATTATTTGTAGTATTGAAAGAAGAGATGGTACCAAGTCCAGTTAGTTAAAAATGAAACAAATTGATTGTAAGTATAAAAGTCACTGAGGTTGGCTAGAGAAAGCAAACCAAGAAGAATCTGGCAAAACTTCACAGTGCTCACCTTATTTTATTGTTGCTGCAAGGTAGATAGGAACCAGTAGCACAAGTTTTAGTAAATAGATTTGAAGTTAAGGTTAAAGCTGGACTACACATGCATCTTTCTCCTTGCACTGAAAATGGGACATCTGCCCTATAATTAGGATATTTTAATGGAGAAAAATTACAGAAAAGGATAATATGCTTAATGTGTGGTAAGTGCTATATAAGAATTTGTTACTGTCATCATCATTATTAGCATATGATTCCAAGGGGTTCACCACTGTCATGATTCAAATTCAGAGACAGATCCGAGGTGTGTGATCAGTATTTCTTGATCCTGTGTTAAGATTTTCATATTTTAATTTGAAAACTTTATAAATGGCTGAAATGTATTTGTGTACTACCACTCAATTTTATTCATACTTGGATGTATTTGATACACAGCGATACGTGTAAAATATTTTGAAAATAAGTGTTGGTGTTACTCATGCCTGTGATTTCCAGGAATCTCTGTGTGGATTATAAAGCTCTTTCTTTGTGTCTGAACCCATATTCCTGGTTGCCTGTTGGCTGTCTATTTGTGGGTGCCTCCATCTTTCCTGGCGCAAATGGAATTTGTCACCTCTGGAGGTTGCTCCGAACCTTCTCTTTTTCTTATCTCCTATTTACCCATCTGGGATTCCTCCAGATCATCTTTTTTTTCCTTTAAGTTTCTATTTAAATTCCAGTTCGTTAATATACAGTATTATGGTATACAGTGTACTGATTCAACACTTCCATACACCACCCGGTGCTCATCATGACAAGTGCACTCCTTAATCCCCATCACCTGTTTTACCCATTCCCCGCCCCACCTCTCTTCTGGTAAGCATCAGTTTGCTCTCTGTCATTAAGAATCTGTTTCTTGATTTGTCTCTCTCAGTTTTTTTCCACTTTTCTCATTTATTTTGTTTCTTAAATTTTACATATGAGTGAAATCCTATGGTGTTTGTCTTTCTCTGACATATTTTGTGTAGCATTATACTGTCTAGCTACATCCATGATGTTGCAAATCATGAGATTTTATTCCTTTTTATGGCTAAATAATAGTCCATCATACATACACACACTACACTCTTCTTTATCCATTCATCAGTTGATGCTCACTTGGTTCACTTCCATATCTTGGCTACTGTAAATAATGCTGCAATAAAAATAGATGTGCATAAATCCCTTTGAATTAGTATTTTTATATTCTTTGCATAAGTAGCCTGTAGTGCAATTGATGGATCATATGGTAGTTCTGTTTCTAACATTTTGAGGAATGTCCACACTGTTTTCCATAGTAGGTGCACCAGTTTGTATTCCCAGTGCATGAGTGTTTCTTTTTGTCCACTCCTTGCCAATGCCTTTTGTTTCTTGTGTGTTGAGTTTAGCCATTCTGACTGGCGTGAGGTGATATCTCATCATAGTTTTGATTTACATTTCCTTGATACCAAGATGATGAACATCTTTGTATGAGTCTTTTGGCTGTCTGTATGTCTTCTTTGGAAGAATGTGTATTCCTGTCTTCTGCCCATTTTTTAATTGGTTTATTTGTGCAGTATTTTTACTGTTGAGTTGTATAAGTTCTTTATATATTTTGGCTGCTAACCCTTTATCAGATATGTCATTTGCAAAAACCTCCCATTTCATAGGTTGCCTTGTAGCATTGTTGATTGTTTCCTTCACTGTACAGAAGATTTAAAAAAAATTTTTTTTAATGTTTTATTTATTTTTGAGAGAGAAGGAGAGACAGCATGAGCAGGGGAGGGTCAGAGAGAGAGGGAGACACAGAGTCTGAAACAGGCTCCAGGCTCTGAGCTGGCTGCCAGCACAGAATCTGATGCAGGGCTCGAACCCACAAACTGTGAGATAATGACCTGAGCCGAAGTTGGACGCTTAACCGACTAAGCCACCCAGGCACCCCACTGTACAGAAGCTTTTTATCCTGATGATAGTTCATTTTTGCTTTTGTTCCCCTTGCCTCAGAAGACATATTTAGAAAGAAGTTGCTACAGCTGATGTCAAAGAAGTTACTGCCTGTGTTCTCTTCTAGGATTCTGGTCTCAGATTTAGATTTTTAATCCATTTTGGAATTATTTTTGTGTATGGTGTAAGGAAGTGGTCCAGTTTCATTCTTTTGCATGTTACTATCCAGTTTTCCCAACACCCCATTTGTTAAAGAGACTGCTCTTTTCCCATTGGATATTCTTTTCCTGGTTTGTCAAAGATTAATTGATCATGTAGTTGTGAGTTTATTACTGGGTTTTCTATTCCATTTTATTGCTCTATGTATCTGTTTTTGTGCCAGTACCGTGCTGTTTTGATTACTCTAGCTGTGTAATACAACTTAAGTCTGGGATTATGATGCCTCCAGCTTGGCTTTGCTTTTTTTTTTTTTTTTTAATTTTTTTTATTTCTAGGAGAGAGCGAGAGCGAGAGAGAGACAGCGTGAGCAGGGGAGGGTC